AGAAGACATCCTCAGATCTAGAGAATCTCTCCTGAGGGCAAGAAGCAAAGGACGGTGGTGGGGACTGAAGGGGAGACTCCATGACTCACCAATGAAGACAGCAACGAACGGCTCTGTGATTACAGAGGCAGTTTTGCAACTCTGACCACAGGCCAGAAGATCAGAATTTGCCTTCATCAGTTGTCTCGCCAGTTGCTTTCAGGGCAGGAGTTGGTGGAAATTTATCCACATCATCATTAGCACTGCTCTCCCACTAAGATTTTCCACTAATTTGTGGTAAACCACTGGCCAAGAGCCAGGACAATGTGGGCCAGATACAAGTGCCAATAAAACAATCACCGAAGGCCATTCGGTACATAAAACCACACTCCCACCACACTAAGCACAGCTACAGCATGGCCCCGCAGCCAGTCCCACATCTCATTATCCCCATCTTCCAGAGAAAGAGCCTGTCTAACGAATACTGAATATTAATGACTAATGAGCTAACGAATGCATTAGCGCTAATTCAATGACATTCAGACAGAAGATGCCGAGGATTTGAAAACGTTATACTTACATTAATGTATCCTGACACACTGACAATTTAGAGGATGTTTTCTATTAGCCTGTGAGTTTTCAAAGGGGAACCTCCACCTCCTCCTTCTCCCGCGATTCTTTTCTCCTTAATCCATTTTCTGAGCATCCCAGGGGCTGTGGAGATCAATCACCATAAACAGCAATTCCTACTCCCCACCACAGCTCTCAGTGATGGTCAGTGCCTATGTGCAGTTGAAAGAGGGTTTTTTTCCTCCAAAATCCTTTTTCTTTGCAGGCTCCTTTCAGTATCTGTTCCCTTCCTCAGCTGTTCAGCATACTGCACTCAATTTTGATAGCTACTGCTTTGTGGTGGAAAGAAACCTCACTGGTGCCACGCTAATGATAGCTCAATCTCTCCCCACCTCCACAGCTCTTCCCCCAGCATCTCTGCTTCCCTCCCAGAATCTGGAGAGAAGAGGAGCTCTGCAGCATGGGATAGGGGAGACTCAACCACACACGCGATGATGCTGCAGCAGCCAGAGCTGCGCACCCATCGAGGGAAGTGCACAGCGCTGTGAGAGGGGAACCAGACCCCATTCCTGCAGGCACCTGAAGTTGACTGCCTACGGCTTCGGCAAGCTGCTGCCAAGCAGCTGATGGGTGCTATCCTGCCCACCTGCAAGGACATGGCTCCCCAGGGGACCCTGGGGACAGGGCTGCTGCCTATTGCTTAGTTGGATGTTGTTTCGGTGGCACTGCCATCCACGGTGCAGCCTTTTACCCGACAAAGCAGTGCTGCTCAAATTAAAAAGGTGGCACTACAGAACCTCTCTCTCCAAGGCTTTGAGGGCACTTCCAATCCGCAAGCAGAGGAAGAGAAAATGAAACAGAGTCAAGCCAGGATAATGAGTAAAAGGTTTATACATTTAAGCTGGCCACAAGTTTGTTCAGCTCTATCATGTTCAGGCCAGGGAGAGGACTCTTGCTTTCCTGTTTTAGATTTCCCAAGTCAATACGCCTGAGACAACTCAACATCTTGAGCTCACTGATTTGTTATACCTAAGAGTTAACCAAGAAGGTGCAGTGGATGTATGTCCTTTGTAACAGCCTAACAGGGCACTTGCCATGCCTAAGCATCTTTCATGGACCACAGGTTGGGAACCACTAGTAAGTATGAAGCAGCAGCACTGTCCCTTTACAATATTGGACTTCCCCTGGGAGCACCCTGGCAAAGCCCAGGGGAGTTCTCCAGCGCTGCAGCAGCACAAGGGGGTCCGCACATGCAAGGGGCACCCAGCGCGGCAGCTGCGCTGTACTCGGCTCTCACAGCCAGGCTGATGCCCACAGCATTTCTCTTGCAAGGCCCCGGCAGCCGTAACGCATTTGTCCAGCTCTTCTTCTGTTTCTCCAGGCTCTGGTGGTCCTGTCTCTTTGCTGGTGACGACAGTGCCAGGTCCACAGCAGCTGCTCTGGGCCCCATACCTACTTGGATGCAGAGGTAGTGAGAAAGCCTGGGTTCAAACACATGGGCAGGGCAAAGAAGAGAGGCAGTAGATGCACAGGTCAGAGCAGTCATACAAGAGCAAGACCAGCCAGAACGGGAAAGATTACTTTCCACATATTATTTTCCACCAGACAGCCATCTCTTCCCTCTTCTTGTCCATTAGGCTCATTAACAAAGTATCTCGGTGTTTCACAATCTCACCTTACTACAGCCCTGCACCTTCAGGACAGAT